TGATGTTAAATTGTTGGGAAGCAGGCCAAAGAATATAGGTCCATTTTTAAGGCTTCTTGATGTCATAGAAATTAGGCATTAAAATTCAATCTGGGCTGAGCAACGACAGATCACTGAAGTGGAGAGAGCATGTTGATGCAAATGGAAAGAGAAAGACTTCCTAAAATAAAGAAGCAACGAAACTGAGCTAAGAATGACTATGAGAATATTGTACTTGAATATATAGTACAGGGTTCCTATCTCCTTTTAGACACTGTCTAAACTTATTAGAAACGTAATTGCAACTGTCTGTTCAAATACTGGAGAACAGCAATTGCATTTTTCTCTTTCTTTCCTATTCCATTCACGGGTAATCTCTGTACTATGCATGCTTATGATACGGGAAGAACATGTGAACCTTGAAACCCTTTTAACAACTAGGCTATTCACTTCTAGAATAAAACCAAATCTATTGTATCTAAACTAATTTTAGTTTTTTAAAGTATTTTAATTCTTGGTGGAAGTTTGGATATATGAATGTTATAACATTGTTAGGAGAGTGTAGCTTTTATACTGGGGAGGCCAAATCAATGTAAGCTACTTGTTAAATAGCCTTGGCATTCATTTAGCACTTCCTCCATTGCAAAAATGTATTTCTACCTTAGAAGTAAGAATGTATTCCACATAGGTATTATAATTGCATCTTAATTGTCATCATCACAACTGTAGTTTTATTGTTAACTTCCAAATATAATTATCATTGTCCTGCTAAGTTGTTTTTAAAGTAGCTAAAATAAGCAATCTAATAATTATATTGTGTCAGTATGTTTTCTAACATAAAAGGTGTTTCTTAACATAAACTATAAATAATATAGTGGGATATGCAATGGCTTTTAAGTTAGAATCCTAGCTCTACCACTTTCTGTGTGGCAGTTGATTATTTTGAATGAAAATAAAATATCAACGTCACTGTACTATTTCTTCTTTTTTTCCTTCTTTTTTTTTTTTTACTTTAAGTTTTGGGATACATGTGCAGAATGTGCAGGTTTGTTACGTAGGCATATATGTGCAATGGTGGTTTGCTGCACCTATAAACCCATCATCTAGGTTTTAAGCCCTGCATGCATTAGGTATTTGTCCTATTGTTCTCCCTCCCCTTCCTACCTCCAACAGGCCCTGATGTGTGATGTTCTCCTCCCTATGTCCATGTGTTCTCGTTGTTCAACTCCCACTTATGATTGAGAACATGTGATGTTTCATTTTCTGTTCCTGTGTGTGTTAGCTGAGAATGATGGCTTCCAGCTTTAACCATGTCCCTGCAAGGGACATGAACTCATCCTTTTTTATGTCTGCACAGTATTTCACGGTGTATATGTGCTATATTTTCTTTATCCAGTCTATTATTTCTGGGCATTTGGGTTGGTTCTAAGTCGTTGCCATCATAAATAGTACCACAATAAACATATGTGTGCATGTGTCTTTATAGTAGAATGATTTATAATCCTTTGGATATATACTCAATAACAGGATTGCTGTGTCAAACGATATTTCTGGTTCCAGATCCTTGAGGAATCACCACACTGTCTTCCACAATGGTCGAACTAATTTACACTTCCACCAAGAGTGTAAAAGTGTTCCTATTTCTTCACATTCTCTCCAGCATCTATTGTCTCCTGATATTTTAATGATCGCCATTCTAATTTGCATGAGATGATATCTCATTGTAGTTTTTGATTTGCCTTTCTCTAATGACAAGTGATGATGAGCTATTTTTCATATGTTTGTTGGCTGCATAAATTCTTTTGAGAAGTGTCTGTTCATATCCTTTGCTCACTTTTTGATAGTGTTGTTTGCGTTTTGCTTGTAAATTTAAGTTCCTTGTAGATTCTGGATATTAGCCCTTTGTCAGATGGATGGACAGATCACAAACATTTTCTTCCCTTCTGTCAGTTACCTGTTCACTCTGTAATAGTTTTTTGTTTTGTTTTGTTTTTGTTTTTTTGCTGTGCTGAAGCACCTTCATTTAATTAGATCCCATTTGCCAATTTTGGCTTATGTTGCAATTGCTTTTCATGTTTTAGTTATAAAGTATTTGCCTATGTGTATTTCAAGTTAAATAAGACATTTCCAACAATGTCAGACATACAGTGATATATATATAAAATATATACATATGATATATATAAAAGATATATAAGATAATATGTATATAACCTTTACATCTTAACCGCCTTGTAACCTTTCTCAAACTTCTTTTGTATATCATTTTTTCTTGTTTTAAATGTATATCCAGATAACCATGTATATTCATATTCTCTATACGAATTTAAAACATTTTGAAAATATTCTCAAATATCACCATCCATAGTCAAAACGATTTGTGTGTCTCTACATGCATTTCCATAGTTTACAGTAAAGCAAATAGAGGGGGGAAAATGGCTGTTTTCTTTTTTAGATTATATATGTTAGATATCATTTTAATCATTTTACTCCCCCAAAACTTATATTGAATACTTCCTGAAATTTATTAGCATAATATATAATTGAGTTGAAATCAATTGAAATGTTGGCCTGGCTGTACAAATGATAATGGGGTTGCACTTTTATTTTTTATTTACAATTTTATGTAGAACTCAAAATATTTTTCAAATTTTAACAGAATTACTGCTTACTACAATTGACTTATCCAGGTTTTGCTTTTTTTGTTTTTAATTGGTCCACAATTACATCAAATGGCAAAGAGGAGCTAGTTTGTAAAGCCCTTGCTGAGACATCTTTAAACACAGAAAGCTACCATTTTGCTATTCATAAAAGTATAACTATTTTCAGAAGATTCCGGATACTAATTACAAGTCACTATTCATCAGGCTCCAATAGAAGATATAAAAGTATACTTGTAGAAGTGGATAGTCAGAGACATTAATGTTATACTGAAATATTTGGGTTAGCTTGTAAGTAAATTTTAGCCCTAATCATGCAATAGAAGATAATTAGGTAATAATTATTGATCAATAATATGAAGCTCATTTTTTTAATTTTTAAAATATTTTTATTATACTTTAAGTTCTGGGATACATGTGCAGATTATGCAGGATTGTTACATAGCTATACACACGCCATGGTAGTTTGCTGCATCCATCCCACCATCGCCTGCATTAGGTATTTTTACTAATGTTATCCCTCCCCAATCTCCCCATAGGCTGAGTGGACTCCAGCACCTTCCATTCCTATCTAAGTAAATCTCCAAATACCAACATGATGGGGATTAGGGTTTAAACTTATGAATTTGGGGAAGGCACATTTGATTCATAATAGCTGTTATTTTTTAATTGAAAATGGTAAATTGATATATTAATAATATAAATAATATTTGGTGACTACAGATACTTTTATTATAGTATCATCCTTCCAGGTGTAAAAGATTTGATAATCCTCATGTGCTTACAACATAAAATTTCCATATTACAATACCAAAGGCATCAGAGTATTTTGAATGCACATCCTATACCTAATGTTTTCTTGCCTTCACTGTTTGTTGTAATTTTATTCCATTCCAATATGCCATAGTTCTATTTTCACTTTTAATTCTAAAAAGAATGAGAGATAACAGAGAAATATGACGTGAATTTATAAGCTCAGAGGTTTTTGCACCAACTGATCATGTATACTTCTAATTAACTCCTGCAGTGCATATTTGGTATGGTTTGTTTGTTTGTTTTATACAAAAATGTTGCCTCAAACAATTCCCTAGACTCTGGTTAAAATAGGAGGATAAAAATAGAAATAGATCCAGATTTCTGCTGAAATATTTGTTATTTTCTTTGCTGAAACATAAACAATTCACCCATAAATAATTACACAGGCAAACTGTAAATCCTTTCTCTTCAATCTCTTTTAGCAGGGCTTGCAGAATTGATTTATACTTATATTGCTGCTAACGCTATGTCAAAATAGTTTATTGGAAAAATTCCATTATTTACTGATTATTTTAATGCAAAACTTAATAAGCTAAGAGAAACATTTTATGTATGCATTATAAACCATCCGTACTCAATAACTAAAGCTGCTTATCTTGTTCACTACTTTATTGTTGCAAATTGATTTCAGAAAATAATATAAAATACAAACATTCATAATGGTTATATTACAAGATGGATGTGGTTTCACATAAACTTTGTTTTCATTGTGTTATTCAATTAAAATCATGCACACTATATCTGGTACAGTGTATTTTATAATGCCAAAGGTAAATTTAATAGTGTATTGTGCACATTTGCTGTCTCTGAACTTTTGGCATTCCTATGTGGTATAGTCATTCATTTATTTTTGCTTTGTTGCTCAAAAAATTACTTTTATGCTTTAGAGTTCTGCATCATGACTCTCAAGTGGCCTTGGACAAGCATGGGTGAATCACTGTATTGGCTCCATCATAAAGATAAGTGTTTTCTACACTCAGTTTGAAAGATGCTATCAAAACAATCACCTACCCGTGTTTGGAAATACAGCAAGAAATATGATGAAATTTGAGCAGTGGCTGTCATGTTAAACCATGCCACTTTTCCTGTGGGATCAATAGTGGCAAGAGGTTTATGAAATTTTTCTTTTTGTCAGATGGTCTCTGGATTTACATCTTAGCTCTGTTACTTATTAACTATTTGTGCTAACACAAGTTAATTAATATCCTTCAGCCTAATTTCTTAATAATAATACTCCATCACTTCTTTCATTTCACCTTGTCTCATCAAAGAAAAAGAGAGAGTAAAGAAGAGAGAGAAATAGAGACAGAGAGAACTTTGGGAAAAACTCAAATACCTGATTTCTCCATGTGTATACTAAGGAAGTTTTATACTGATAGAAAAAATAAAATCCCACAGCAGAATAGATGATTAGAAATGAAATATTCATGATCATTAACCTACCTATCTATAAAATCTACTAAGATTCATGATCTTGAATGACCTCCAATGCAATGGTCATTCCAATTTTTTCCACTCTTCAAATCTCCATATAACATTATCATATCCACCTAACATTTTATTTTACACAGATATCCAGAGTGGCCAGATATATACTTCCTCAACTTATCACCACCAAAGATATAATGATATTTATATCTGCAATCAAGTTATTCTATTTATTCAAATATGTGGGTTTTTCTCTTTATCAGTTGATTAATGGTTTATATTTTCTAAGAATCAACTTTTGGTTTTATTAATAACTTTATTGAACTCTATTCTCTACTTCATTTTTTGTTCTAATATACACTGTTTCCTTCCATTTATTTTGGATGTGGTTTGCTCTACTTTTTTTAATTTTTGAAGGTGAAAATTTATAGTATTGATTTGAAATATTTCTTTCCTGTAAGAGAGCCAGATAAAAAATAACTTCCCCTCTAAGCACTGCATTAGCTGCATTCCATATATTTTAGTGTGTTATGTGTCTGTATTAATTATTCCCAAGGTGTTTTCTGAATTCTATTGTGACTTCCTCTTTAACCAATTATTTTAAAAATTTCCACAAAATTGTGAATTTCCAAAATTTTCTCCCATTATCACTTTCTAACTTCTTTCATTGTAGTCTGAGAAAATATATTTTATTATATCATTTAAAGAAAAACCTTAAGATATGTTTTATAACATATCATACAGTATATGCTGGATAAAGTTTCACATACACTTGAGAAAACCGTGTATCCAGGTTTGTTGTGTGCTGTGTTCTTTATGTGTATAGCAGGCTTTATTATGTTATACTGTTGTTGTGTTATTCACGTATTCTATTTTGTTATTGATCTGCCTAGGTATACTATTCACTGTTGAATGTGTAGTACTGAATTATATCTAATTTTCTATTTCTTTCTTTGATTATGTGTCTTTTCTTCACATATTTTGGGTGTGTGGTGTTAAGTACATTCAGAGCTTACACATGATATATCTGGCATATGCATATATAGATTCCACCACCACCTTGCTGCTGCTAATGCACACATGTGGATTCCACTGCTATCACCCAGATGAAGTAGTTTTGCTGTCACCCTGTATTGCAGCGTTTTTCCCAGAAGATAAGAACACCTTGGCCCTTCCACCATAGCATACACTTAAACTCAAGAAGCAATAGAACAACGCTGTGGGCCTGGCCCAAGTCCTCTAAGGTCAGAGTATGTAGTCCAGGAGTGCTGAGCTGTGCCTTGGCCCTGTGAAATCATTCAGATCTAAAGCCAGTCAACTAAACCTAACTTTCATTATAGTCAGCCTCTCAGAGCATCAAATAATATAAAAGCAAAAAGTTCTATCTAAAGGATAAATTCAAGGATTGAAGAAACATTAGCTCACACATATGAGAAAGAACTAGTGCAAAATGTCTTGCAACTCTAAAAAGCCAGAGTAACTTCTTACCACAAAATAACTACATTAGCTCCCTATCAATGGTTCTTGATCATAATGAAATTGCTGAAATAAAGACATAGAAATTAGAATCTGCTAAAGTTCAGGGTCTCTTATAAGGTGGGTCTGCTGGGAAGAGGGAGCGGATCAAGAAAAATAACTAATGAATACTAGTTTTAACACCTGAGTGATGAAATGATCTGTACAACAAAACTCCATGATACAAGTTTACTTATGTAACAAACCTGCACATGTATCCCTGAACTTAAAATCAAAGTAAAAAAAAAAAAAAAATCAGAATCAGAATGGCAGGGAAGATCATTGAAGGTCAGGAGAATGTTGCAAAACAATACAAGAAATCAAAGTAGTCCAGCAAAACATTTCAAGAGCTGAAAGACAAAATAGTCATTTTCAGAAAGAAACAAACTGATCTGACCAAATTGAAAACCTCACATGAATGTAATAGTACAATTGGAAGTATTAACAGCAGAACAGACCAAGTACAGGAAAGAATTTCAGAGCTCAAGGACCAGCTATTTGAATCAACTCAGTCAGACGAAAATAAAGATAAAACATTTTTTAAATAAACAAAATCTCTGAGAAATATAGGATTATATCCAGACAAAAACTACGGCTCATTGACATCTGCCACCAACCCTGGCTAATTTTGTTTTTGTATTTTTAGTACAGATGGGGTTTCACCATCTTGGCCAGGTTGGTCTTGAACTCCTGACCTAGTTATCCACCCACCTTAGCCTCCCAAAGTGCTGGGATTACAGGCGTGAGCCACTGTGCTCAGTCCCCCAAAAATAATTTTAAAAATCAACAAAACTAAGAGTATTTTTGAAATGATAAAATTGAAGAATTCTTCAATAGAGCAATTGAGAAAAAAATAGAAGATACAAATAAATAAAAACAAATAAAATAAAATTAAACTGATGATAGAAACAAAAAATTATAATAAGCTACTAGGAATAATTATATACAAACAACCTAAATAACCTAGAAGATATAGATAAATTTCTGGTCACCTACAGCCTAGCAAGACTGAATCATGAAAAAATTAAAAATCTGAATAGACCAATAATGAGTAAAGAGGTTGAACCAGTAATAAAAGGTTCCCCATCAAAGAACAGTCTAACACATAATGGCTTCTCTGCTAAATTTTACCAAACATTTAAAGAAAAGCTAATATGATCTTTTTCAAACTCTTTCTAAAAATTCAAATAGATGGAATACTTCTAATTTTTTTTAAGCAAGTATTACCTACATACCAAAGACAGACAAGGACAATACAAGAAATGAAAATCATAGACCAATATAACTAGTGAACATATATGCAAACATCCTCAACAAAATATGAGCAAACCTAATTCAACGACCCATTGAAAGAACCATGCACTATGAGCAAGTGGGATTTATCTTTGAGAGGCAAGAATGGTTCAACATATGCAAATCAGTAAACGTGATGTACCACATTAACAGAATAAATGCCAAAAATACATAGTCGTCTTAGTGCAAAATAAAAAGCATTTGACAAAATTCAACAACTGTTCTTGGTGAAAGCTCTCAACAGATTAGTTACAGATGGAATGTATCTCAACACAATAAACACTCCATATGATAAGCTAAAAGCTAACATTATAAATCAACAGTTAAAATTTGAATTATTTTACTCTATTAACAGAAACCAAATGAGGATGCCCATTCTCACTGTTTCTTTCCAACATTGTGCTGGAAGTACTAGACAGAGCAATTAGGCAAGCGAAAAAAATAAAATGTATCCTAATTGGAAAGGGGAAGGTAAAATTATCTCTGTATGCTGACAAGGTGATCTTATAAATGGGAAACCTTAAGGACTCCACCAAAAAATTAAAGTGAATAAACACAGTAAGCTTTCAGGATACAAAATCAACATGCAGAAATCAGTAGCACTTACATGCATTAGCAATGAACTCTGAAAGAGAAACTGAATAAACGATCCCATTTACAGTAGCAGCAGCAGCAACAACAAAAATACCTAGGCATAAATTTAAGCAAGGAGGCGAAAGATCTGTATACCAAAAACTATAAAACACTGATAAAGTAAACTGATAACAACACAAATAAATGGAAAGATAACCTATGTTTATTAATCAGAATAATTAATTTTGACAGTGTCCACACTATTCAAAGAAATCTACAGATGTAATGATCTCTATAAAATTCAAGAGTAATTTTTACAGAAATAGAAAAAAATTCTAAAGTACATATGGAATTACAAAAGATCCTGAATAGCCAAAGCAACCTTGAGCAAAAAGAACAAAATTGAATGTGTCACACTCCACAATTACAAAACATACTTTAAAGTAATTGTGATCAAAAGATGCTAGTACTAGCATAGAACTAGACCCATGGACCAATGAAACAGAGTGGAAAACCCATAAATAAACTCATACCTTTATGGTGAGTTGATTTGCAGCAAAAGTCCCAAGACAACACAAAACAGAAAAAAGATAGTCTCTTTAAAAGGTATTTTTCAGAAAAGTGGACTTCTATTAGCAGAACAATGAAACAGTATTCTCATCTCACATCATATATAAACAAACATAAAATCAATTAGAGATTTAAAGTAAAACCCCAAAACATAAAGCTACCAGAGGAAAACATAGAAAAAATGTTTCATGACATTGTTTTGATCAATGATTTTTTGGATATGACCTTGAGAGCTCAGGTAACAACAGTAAAAATATATAAAATGATTACATTTAACTGAAAAAAAAATTTATAACAAAGAAACCAACAGAGTGAATAGATAACCCACAGAGTGGAAGAAAATACTTTAAAACCATACATCTGATAAGGGATTTGTATCCAAAATACCTAAGGAACTTAAACAACTCAATAGTAAGAAAACAAATAACCAAATAAAAAATGAGCAAAGAACCTGAACAGAGATTTCTTAAGAAAAGGCATACAAATGGCCAATAGAGTCATAAAAATATGTTGAATATCTCCAATTTTTGGGAAATATAAATTAACTCTTCAATGAGGTATCACATTACACCTATTAGAATGACTATGATTAAAAGAAGAACTAACAAGCATTGGTAATGATGTGGAGAAAATGGAATCTTTGCACACTGTTAGTGGAAAGGTAAGTTAATACAGCCATGAAAAATTGTATCTCAATGTCTTGTAGAAAATTATACATAGCTAGAGGAACAATAGAACTACTATATGATCCAGGAATCCCACTTCTGGACATAACATCTAATGGAACTAAAACCAATATACTGAAGATATGTCTGCACTCATATCATTGAAATGTTATTTACAATAGTCAAGATGTAAAATAAACCTAAGCATCCACACAGATGAAGAGATAAAGAAAATATTAGATACATGCACAATGCAAAGCTATTCAGCCTTAAAAAAGAAGACAATTCTCTCCCTGGCAATAACATAAATAACAAAAATAAACCGGGAAGACTTTATGCTGAGCGAAATAAGCCAGGTACAAAATGCCAACTATTGCATGATTTCACTGCTATGGTGAATCTAAAAAATTCACACTCATAAAAGTAGGAAGGAGAATGCTGGTTATCAGAGGCTAAGGGTTGGCAGAGGAAATGTTTGTCAATGGGCATAATGTTTTAATTCGACATATGAAAGGAGTTTTTGAAATCTCCCATACAGCAAGGTGACTGCAGTTAATAATTTATCTATTATTTAAAAATTTGCAGAGGGCAAATTTTACATGTCTCAACAACAGAAAAAGGATGAGTGAGGTGATTGGTATGATAATTAGTTAGATTTAATCATTTTGAATTGAATACATGTATCAAAACATCACATTGTACCTGTAGGTAGCAATGCAAAAATATGTACCTATAGGCACAATGTGATGTTTTGATATATGTATAAAATTTAAATATATACATAAAATTTAGAAATGCATATATGAAATCTTATATAAAGAATATGAGAGTTGTACCTATATATGAATATATAAATAATATGATATATATTATATTGCAATGTATATTATTTATATATCTATGTGTAATACATAATATAATATGCCATGTAATATATATATCATGTATTATAATTTATATAATATATAATGCATTATGTATATTAATATGTAGGTTATTTATATATATTTATATTTAAAATATATTTATATATTAATATATATATTTTTATAATAAAATAAAATATTAACATATTTTATGTATTAATATAAAATATGTGAACAAAATATTTCATATATTTATATGAAATATATAAGTATTTAATATATTTAATAATATATTTTATATTTAATATACTAATATGTATTTATATAATATTTAATCTATTTATTAGATTTATATATTTAATAGATATATAATATGCTTTTATATATTATACATATATTACACATAATATGCATTATGTCTGGATATTACAGAATACATAGATAGGTAAAATTCTCATATTCTTTAGACAAGATTTTCTTTACTTCTTTGAACATACTTTAAACTGCCAACTTCATGTTATTCTCTATAAATCCAAAATTTGTGCTTCCTGTAGCGTAGTTTCTATAGACTTTTTTTTTTCCAGTATATGAGTCATAAGTTTTTAATTTTTAGGCCATGTCTCATATGTTTTTGAAAATTTTAAATATGGAATAATTATATATGTATTTATACATAATTAATATTTCAATAAAATGATATAAATGAAAAACGCTATTTTTTCCTACTTTGACTTTTGTTAGTTTCTGATATTTCTGTGTCTGGGTTATTGAGTTTATTCCTTTTGTGTTTTACTGAGTTTCTAGACATGTAGATCAACAATATTCATCAAAATTTGGGAAGTTTTCAGACATTAATTATTTCAAATATTCTTTCTACCTCTTTTCCTCCCCTATTCTCTCTTCTCCTTCTGCTCCTTCTTTTTCTCCTTCTTCTGTGACTGTCATTACGTGTATATATATATATATATGCATGACGGTATCTCACAGGTCTCAAAGGCTTTGTCCAACATTTTTTTTTTAATTCTTTTCTCTCTCAGTACCTCAGACTGGATAGTATAAATTG